ATATTCTGTTTGAAAAGCAGCTACGAGAGAAAGTGATTTAGACCCGGCTGATTTCACCACATGTCGAGTACGTTTGTGCTTCTTCTTCGGTTGAGGCGTACGATTTGGATGGCAATGGCCTTCTTTATGTCCACGTTTATGGCACATCTGACATTTATGTTTTTTAAATGGACAAAATCGTACGTAGTGCCAATCACCACATAACCAACATGCCGTCGTTGGTTTGTTACGAGATGCTATCGGCTTCTGGACTTTTAACCTAGTAATAGCATTGACACTACTGCTGGTTAAATTGTGATTTACCTGTTCAATCAACATGTTGTCGTGCCTGATGCTTTGTAGGTGTTTACACTCATCTGTCAATGTTCTGAGTGTGATGTTAGGGTCTTGGTCCATTCGAATCAAAAGTCTAGTTCTGGTTTCCGCATCTTGCGGTGACTGAAGAGCTTTGATGAATATTAAGCATTTAAATTGGTCTTCCGTCAACGAGCGTAACTTGAACCGTTCACATTCTCTGTTGACGACGTCTGCAAGAACCGGATATTCATCATCTTCGTGTTTCACCAGATTTAGACAATGATATCTAATACTAAACAATGATGCTGATTCGCTGAAAATATCTGACAGCTGAGTTACTGTCTCCTCGAAACTGAGCTCTCGAGGTAACTTCGGTAATACGTGGTCAGCGTAACGTTCATACTCATTGCTTCCCAACTTCCGCAGCAACAACCGAGTCTTCCATGCATCGTCTTGTTTACCGAATTCAATTCTAAATGTATCTTCCCAACGTTTGAACCACGTCAGAAAAGTATTTCCACATTCAGGATTATAGACGAATTCTGGTATGCTGTTTGCCACTGCTTCACAAGACGTATTTGAAATAGTATGGGGACTCGAACACTGGATGTTGAGCTGTTGAGTTAGGGTCTCCAACAACCGCATTTGTGCATCTAATTGTGCTTGCTGTTGTTGTAGTATTCGGTTAAGCTGATCATCTGAAATAGGCATCTTGAAAATATTTTTCTTTTTCTCCGTCGCCACTGTTGTAACGGTTGCTTACGATATTTCCCGGCTAAATCTTATTGCTTAGTATTCTTGACACAAAACACTGGACAAGTAACACAAATCAGAACACGGTTGAACAGGAAGGATTGTATTCCAAAATAGCAAGGAAAAGAAGCTGGAGGTGATGGCGAAAGCCAAGGCAAAAAGGCTTGAAAGCGAAGAAGGCTTGAAGGCAAAGATAAATACAATGCTTGTCTATTTATAGCCTTTACATGAGAAAACTTCTGGAAGAAAATTCACGTGATCGACTGGACTGGATTTGACCAATCAGCATGCAGCTAATAATACGAGAATTTTCTATCCTGTTCTCCAAGCTTCGATCAGGCGCTGATTGGATAGGAAATTAGCCAATCAGCGCGTAGTGACGTAATCATGCTTTAAATCCATCTATGTCCCACTAACACTACTATATACCTTGATTAGCATTTTCAGACTCAGAATGCACAGAATGACCAAGATGTGTATGTCGTGTATCGATCGCTTGTTTTCGCTTCTTCTTCACAATCATAGTAGTGTTTATTCCATTCATTCAGTCGTTCAATCAATCAATCAATCCAAAATTATTCAATCTAGTTTGTTTATCTATTGTAATTTTTTGTTCTGTAAATTCATTTTTTGAAAACTAGCACAAATTTTTTTACTTGTGTGTATGTATGTTTGTTCGTTCGTTTGTGTGTGTGTGTGTGTGTGTGCGTGCGTATGTACGTGGTGTAAAATGATGAAATTGAGTTGTTGTTGTTTTACTATGGTTATGTGCTGCTTTTGGCACAAACATATATTCATTTATTAGAATGATGAGAGATTGTTGGTTATTATTGAAATTATGAATCAATAATCATTGTGAGACCAGCATTAGAAATCTGAAAGTATGGCTGAAAGATGGCCAGATAGACAGACAGATACAACGCAGAACTTCGTACATAAGTACATCAGTTCAGGTTGACATGCTCCATCAGCACACAGACGTAACTGTCAGTTCAAATCCAAGAGTGATAGAGATAGTAGAATTATTAGCAGTAATGGAGAAGATTAGGGAGCGAAGATATGATTCGAGAAGTATAATTCAGTGAGATAAATTTAGAAAGAGAAAGATAGAGATTATGAGGAATTCAGAAGGTTAAAATTAGAGAGAACACAAAGAGTGGATGCACCTGCGCCATTGCAAACGATTCTGAGCTATATCGTTCAAGGTCTCTAACCATTGGTGACTTTCATCTAGCGGACCCCAACCAGGTAGTCTACATCTACCAACATGACTCAGTCCACTTGTCAGTGACTTCATGGATTTGTGCCATCTTTTGATTTGGCCACCCCTAACTTTCTTCCAGACTACTCGTACACTGCTAAACTTAGGTTGTGGAGGCAATCGGTGGTTAGGCATATGTAACACATATCCCAACCACCTCAACTGATGAAATTTCACCACGTCATCTATTGATCTGCCATCCTTACCTAGAACTCGTTTCCTAATGGCAGCATTGCTTACTCGGTCGTCCCAGGATACAGGAGCAATGCTTCGGAGACACTTTTGATCGAAGACTAGTAACCTACGAATGTCCTCTACTCTTAACGGCCATGTTTCGCATCCGTATAGTAGGACCGAACGAACTGCTGCGCAGTACACTCGTCCTTTGGTTACTGAAAGATGGCCGTTTCATCCTGGTATGGCAGTGCATATCCATGACTTCTGCTACTCGCAGGATTCGAAACCAAGGACCTTCGGTCTTGCTCACGAACGCCTAACCTCTGGCCCACTAGGCGGTCGGCATCCAGAGGTGTTAATGTTTACCTATGATCAATCTAAGGATTTCTTGGTAATTAACTCATACATCCAATAGGGTTGAACTCCACTAGTCACATCCTCACGAATCGTGGATCCATACTGCCAATCAGTCCCATACCAGAACGAAACAGCCATCCTTAATTGTTTCTATATGTGGTCTAACAATGATATATACAATGATATACATTACTATGAATAGTAAATCAATGTAGAGAGGTGCATTTCAATGGTACACTGATTTGATTCTTATGCATTTGTCTGTTGTCGTTTTTTCTTGTACACATCCCGCCTGCAACTACGACGATGACAGTCATCAAAATGATAATTTATGCAAATTAAACTTTAAACTATTAGGATGTGATGTATATTTCCCTGTTGAAAGACAAGTCTAAAGCACAACAATACCTACTATGTTAGACTGTAGCTAATAAGTATATTTTTTCTTTCAAATAATAAAACTTCTTTGATGTCATCTGACTAAAGTTGGATGTGTCAATTCATATAAAACTTCTAGTGTTGTTTTGGCCAGCATTGCCAGTGTTTACTATGAAATATGGATGATAAGCGTTAGATCAACCCTCTCTCTCTCTGATAAGTCAGATACAGAAATGTGTTAGTTAAATTTTTCTTTAAAATTCTCCGAGTTCTAGTGGGCGAGTCGTGACCAGTGAAGTTCAAACCTGTTTGGATGTATACAGGGTATGAGGTTGCGCAACTCCGTGAATTTGATCAAGTTAGACATTAACACCGTTAGATACCGGCTCAGTGGTCTAACGGTTAGGGCGTTCGCGCACAATACCGAAGATCCTGGGCTCGAATCCTGTGGGGTTCAGGAGTCATGGATGCGCACTGCTGACAAGTCCCATACCGGGACGAAACGGCCGTCCAGTGCTTCCAGGTTTCTAATGGTGGTCTAACATTGATCGATTCATGGTTACAAATAAAATTTAACTGAGCAACTCTCTTGGCATTGTGATGAAAACCACCACAATGAATGAAAATAATACACAAATGTGACCTTGTGTGTAGAGCTAGATAATCAATAATAAGCCGATGAATTGATCCAAAGTTTAGTGAGGCATTTTAATAGGTTCATTTCTATTGGAACTAAATACTGGTGTTTCTTCAAACGACAATGAGATATTCAGCAATTGAACTACTATTCATTTCTGAGAAGGAAACGAAAGTAGTGGTATAGTACAGTAGTTAATTTGTTCTTGGTGATGAATCCCTATCCACTCACCTCTATAGTTAATGTCTCTTGTGCTTAATACAGAGAGAACTGAATGAGAAGGTCACTTGCGGACAATCAGTAATATCCTCAAGGTCGAATGCACATCATTAATATGTATACATATATATACGTATATGATCCAGTATCAAAATACCTAATCTTTCTTGCCTTCCCACTCAACTAGCCAGTTTGATGTAGCGAAGGTTAAGACGTAACACATTCAGATCTGGGACACCACATATCTTAAGTGCTCATATTTAAAGAATTACTTACAGGTAAATACACGAATCGGTTTTTGATAAATGAGTTAAAAATAAACCAAAATAGAGAAGTACTTACGTACGCCTGTTACCTCCAATGGAGCATAGGCTACCGACCAACATTCTCTAGCTTACTCTGTCCTGAACATTCCATTCTAGTTTTGTCCAATTGTTGTTCATTCTTCTCATGTCTATCCCCATTTCTCGGCGTAATATGTTCCTTGACATTGATGGTTCCAGGTGAGGGCTTTGTTTTGTGACACAGTTGGGTGCTTTCCTCAATTTGTGTCTTATCCACTTCCAGTTTTTCTTCCTGATTTCCTCCTCCTCCTCTGGAATCTGGTTGATTCTCTCCCACAGTAGGTTGTTGCTGGTGATGTCTGGCTGACAGATCCTCAGTTCCTTGCGTAGGCAACTGTTAATAAACACTTTTATCTTGTGTATGATGGCTTTCGTGGTTCTTCAAGCTTCTATCCCTTAAGGTAGAATTGTCTTGACATTTGTATTGAAAATGTTTGACTTGAAAATAGAAAAGCGACTACCTATAAAATATCATTCAATCCACTTGCAAATCTATTTTTTCATCCATTCATGATTACAAACACATATTCACTAGGTAAATTAAAAATTGGAACCTGTTCTCTGTTTTTTTTTTTCAGTTGTTGGTTTAAATAAAGATAATTTTCCACCGGAATCACCTAATTCCTCTACAACTTATGGTTCCTTACTTCGACCTGGACGTATGCTTCCATTGCGTCATTCACAATCATCTGTATCTACCAACAGACCTAATAATTGCATTGTTTCAACAGTAACAACAGCTGTAGCTCCACTGATAACGACAACAACAACAACAGCACCTCCTTCAACTACACCATTATGTATGCTTCCTGGTGAATTTCTTGTACATTTAAAACGTCAGTCAACTGGTTTTGGATTTAATCTAGTTGGTGGAGCTGAAGAGAATACTCAGGTTTGTTTTTTTGTTTGTTGTAGAAATATATAATAAAACTGATTTCTATAAACATAAATATTTATCTGTACAGTTAATTTAACCATAGATTCAAAGTCATATATAAATGCAATATAATCCAAGTTGTTTATAAGTGTGTATACACGAATAAAGTCCCCAAATACCGTGGTACGGCCGCGAATGGGGACAGTTCTCTCTCTTCAAATATTCTAATATGGTCACGCGTGTAAAGTCACTGTCAGAGAAGTCTTATTCACTAACTTTTTGCAGTAGGAGTATTGTTTGCGTACATCAGTTCAAGTTGCCATACCACATTAGCACAGAGATGCGATTGTCGATTCAAACCACATAGTGGTAGAGGTAGTAGAAGTATAAGCAATAATCGAGAAGATTAGTATTTGAAGATATTATTCAAGAAGTATTATCCATTGAAATAAAGATGAAGGTAATGAAGAATCCATAGGATTAGGATTTGAGAGAACACAAAGAATGAATGCACTTGTGCCATCGCAAACAGTTTTGAGCCATGTCACTCAAGTTATCTAACCATTGATTATTATCATCTTGCGGATCCCAACCTGGTAGTCTACATGGCTCAGTCCACTTCTCAGTGACTTTATGGATTTGTGCCATGTTTTTGGTTTGCCTGCCTCTAGCTTTCTTCCAACGTACTTCTGCGTCAGACAGCATCGCCTGTCAGGGAAGTCTGTGGTTGGGTATACGTAACACATTTCCTAACCACCTCAACTGACGAACATTCCTTACTTCACCAATTTATTTGCCATGCTTACCTAGTATGCTTTTACTGACACCAGCATTGATTGTTCCATCGTCCCACAAAACACGAGCCATGCTTCAAGTCAGTCAGATGCAACGTAGAACTTGGTACGTAAGTACATCAGTTCATGTCGCCACACCACATCAGCACAGAGAAGTAATCGTCAATTCAAATCCAATAGTAGTAGAGGTAGTAAGGGAATTAGAAGTAATCGGAGAGGTTAGGGTTAGAAGATACTATTCAAGAAGTATAATTCAGTGAGATAAGTTAAGAAAGACAAACCTAGAGGTGTTGAAGAATCCAGAAGGTTAGGATTTAAGAGAACACAAAGAATAAATGCACCTGCGCCATTGCGAACGATTTTGAGCCATGTCATTCAAGGTCTCTAACCATAGGAGAGTATCGTCTCGCGAACCCCAACCAGGTAGTCGACAATTACCGACATGGCTCAGTCCACTCGTCAATGACTTCATGGATTTCTGCCATGTTTTGGTAAGAGAGACATTAGGGGGTGTAGGAAGGATTTGATTTTGACCAATTTGGTCTCGCGTGCTGTTACGGGTATGAGGGCGGTTATCACTTCCCGGCTGCCCACACCGTGGAAGGTTGTTGCTTGAGGGACCTGAAAAGGAAGATTGATTAGTGTCGGTGCGTGACCGCATAGCCCAAGGGACAACTGCTTGAGGCCGGTCACGCACGGCCTTTTTATGAAAGGTATTTTGAGGATTAGCTCCGTTCTTAAAGGCCCTTAGTGGGCACCCTTACCCAAGGAGACGGGAATCCGTGAGGTAGGGGAGGTGTGACGTTTTTAGGGCCGACCTTTTCTAACCCTTACTTCCTTGTGAGAAGGCAGCGTCGCTGCCATGCTTCAAAGACATGTATGATCAAATACTAATAACCTACGAATATCCTCAACTGTTACTGGCCACGTTTCACACCCATAAAGTAGGACAGCGCTAATTGCTGTACAGTAGACTCAACCTTTGATTAGCAAACGAATATCTCGCTTTCGGCATAAGTGACGCAAGTTGACAGAAGCCAGTCTAGCCTACTGTATCCATGATGAGTTTTCGTCAGACACCATGTGATCAGCTCTGATGAGACTCCTGAGAAAATTGAAGTGGTCATCACGCTCAACTTTCCTCACTTCTTATCACTAGTTCAGGCGCCGATACAATCTAATCCTGAAGTAACATTTTGCTTTTCGAAGGGGAAAACCGCATCCTGAACATGTTGGCATTGTTGCTTAGGGTGGTTAGAAGACTGTGCATTTTGTCAGCGTCTTCAACAAACAGAACTATATCAACAAGTAAATCTCTCGTTAAAAGCTTGTAGTGAAGGAGAACACAGGTGAGGGCAACCAAATTGTATTTAACGAAAATTACAGAGTTACTCAGTAAAATAGGAAAACCATATCGTAAACGGTTAATTTGCAATCATCAATCCATTGTCTGACATTTCGCTATTCATGCGTTACATACAAATTCCATTGTGTTCCCACTCTTCCTTTCTTGATATTTCCCCATCTTCTGCTACCAGACATTGCGTTTACACTCGCGTCATATACTACTTATAAGTAGCGCGCACCACAGCTGAACTCCTGAAAAGTCAGTTGATGAAAGTGTCATATCTAAAAGCACGTCAACAACAAAGTTTGTACACAAATAAGATATTCATTATATTTACTACTACTACTTTTTTTTTCAAGGTATCTATTGGTGCTATGCTTATGGGTGGTTCAGCTCAACTTAGTGAAGTTGTACGTACTGGTGATAAATTAATCTCAATTGATGGTATACGTGTTATTGGTGCAACACATGCAAAAGTTGTCGAATTATTAGATAGAGCTGCACATACTGTTGGTCAAGTCACTTTAGGATTACAAAGAGGAAAAGTGAGTTTTATCATTTGGGTTTTCTTGTTTGTTTTTTGCCAAACCCCCTTCTCTGTTTATGAAATGTGATTACAATGTGGCCACTAAAGCTAAGTGACATAGAATGTTGGTATGTTATAGTAGTAGACAGGAAAACTCTACACTCAGGTTCTGTTTTGCCTACACGTAAACACGTCAACTTGATATACTTGAACTATTACGAGTTTACCTAGTCTGGAAAATGAGAGCGAGGATCCGGTGACACGACACACTACTCTAATCCGATTATCCCAGCCCCCCATAATGAGTGAAAATAAGAAGACTTGATGTGAAGTAGAACCTGTATTCTACGATTAGCATCCAGAAAGAACGAGGTCTGAATCTAGAAGAGAATCAGGATCCCGGACTAGGGATCCGGGACTGAGCCATGGTCCTGGTCGTGGAGATAAAACGTTACAGATAATGCGTATTTATACATTTTGGTCGAATGGGAAACAGCATCGAATTCTGTGGCATTGAAAGTTAAGACGACCAATAGGAAGTAACATTTGAAGTGACATTGATAGTCAGGACAACCAATAATAAACAACATTGAAGTATTTGACTTTGACAGTTATAACGACCATAATTTTGACCAATAGAAATCGACTAATAGGATTTGACCAATAATTCTCTTAGGATATAGGATGAATATCCTAACAGGTTCCGTGTTAGTTGGTTGAAATCATGAATGGATCATTGCTAGAGCATTATTAGAAACCTGAAAGCATTTGATAGCCGTTTCATCCTAGTATTGGGACTCATCAATCTTATCAAATGTTGCAGGCAGTTAGTTACTTATTGAAGATAATGAGTGAGGTTGCTCAATACCTGGGATTGAATAAAGTTAGACAATAATACCGCAGGTCTAGAGGTTAAGCGTCCGCGCGCGAGACCAAAGGTCCTTAGTTCGATCACTTCAAGCGGAGATTGTGGATTTTCAGTGCAAAAGTCTCATACTTGGACAAAACGGTCGTCTAGTGTTTCCAAGTTTCTAATGATTTCAACGCTAGTCTAGCTGACTGTAACCCACTAACACCGAACCTGGCTCTAAATGTTTCCTGTCTATTACTTCCAAACCGTATGGCTAACCACCAACTGCCTCGACGAGCTATGCTTTGTGGTCTAGGAGTAGGTTGGAAGAAAGCTTGGGAAGACCAAGCCAAAACATGGCAGAAACCCATGAAGTCACTGACTAGTGGACTGAGTCATGTTGGTAGATGTAGACTTACCTGGTTGGGGTCCGCGAGACGAAAGTCACCGATGGTTAGAGACCTTGAATGACATGGCTCAAAATCGTTTGTAATGGCGCAAGTGCATCCATTCTTTGAGCTCTCTTAAATCCTAATCTTCTGGATTCGTCAGTACCTCTACCTTTGTCTTTTTAACCTTATTTCACTGAATTATACTTCTTGAATAATATCTTCGAACCCTAGTCTTCTTCATTACCATTAATACCAACTCTACTATCTTTATCACTATGGGATTTGATTTGACATTTGCATCTCAATGCTAATATGGTATGACACCATGAACTTATTTACATACGTACGAAGTTCTTACGTTGCAACTGACTGA